CGAACATGCAGCCGCAGCAGACAGGGGGAATAACGCTATCTCTAAAGTCACGGCCTATTCAACTGCATCCCGCCAGACCTTCAAGTTAGACGAGGCATAAATTCTCGCAGGAGAGGACAACCGCCTAAGCCGCAAACTGCTTAAATCATGGTTCTCCGCCCCTCAGTCGATCAAAAATCGTAATAATCTCCCGTCCGCATATTCTGTAATGACAATTTGTCTGAGCAGGATAATTAGCCATGAGAGAAGGCGCCACCGGTGCCATTTACGGCGAGCCAAATGGGCAAGTGATTATTACGTCAAGAATCCGCCAGGGGAGGGGGTCGCATTTCGGCGATTAACGGCTTCGGGCCCGAACTATTAAGCAGTCAATGCATAAAATACGGCCCCTGCCCGCAGATTAATGCAGGACTTGCCTATCCTAGTAGGTATGCGTTGGCGTGGCAACTGCGTCCTTTTAATCTCACATCCTGTCGTACTGATGAGGGAAGGCAGAAAGTAGACGTAGATGCGAGCATGCGAAGCGCAGGTTCTTGTTGCCATGCTGCAAAGCCTTTGATCCTAGCATGGCGGGAAGGGGGGGCACGAACTGGCCGTCGCAGTACACGGCGGATGACTGGGGCCGGCAATGACACGGGGGAGGCCGTAAGGATCGCATTGATAAGCATGCTAATGCCCCCCCCCCCTCCCCCTGCGATCACACGTTGCACTCACCAGACGACGTGGCCCACTTTCGGCCCAAAAACGCACACGAGCGCAGCGCTGTAAGACCACAGCCAGTTAAGTCGGTGTGACCCCAACTCCGGACAAGACCACAGGCCCTCCCTGGCCAGACTACGACGACGGCTCGCGTTATTGATATTTCATGCACTCTTAAGCTCCGATCTTGCCGCGGGGTCTCGAAACTCAGCCAAATACTGAGCTGCCCCGCAGCTCGCATGCTCTGCGTTTCATTAAGTGAAAATTCAAAGCTCTATTTAAGAAAGGATTTAGCCAGAAAGCCTCGACAACTCTATTGAAGGCCATGAGACATGCGATCCCCACCCGAAGTCGGCAACGCAGGACAGACCGCTTGTATCAGCGTCAACAAAGCACAGAACTCACTAACCGCCTAGCCAAATACTCAGCTGTTGCCAGCACGTTTTTGCGTAGGTCTTGAGAGTAGTTCGTTGGTGCACGGTAGGACTTGAAATCGATCTGCTTTCAGCCCTACCTAGCCAGGCCATCATGTCATCGCGTACACTCTTTTGCAGACACCTCGTGGTGTGGCTAGGCAACCCGACTCCAGAGGAGCAGGTGAATGAATAAATTCAGATCGATCTGGCCTGCAACTGAAGTCGGTGTTTGCCTCTTAACTGTAAGAGGGGAGATTTTGAGACGGATACGCTTTAGTTCTTCGATGGGAGGCGGTCGTAATGACTGTTTTTAGACGTCGTCTTACCAGCCTGCTTGTTACTCCCGATGAAATGGAAAAGTAGGAATGTTTGGTTCTGCAGTCCCACTTGCCTGAAATCATTAGGTTAACTTACTAAAACAATTGCAAAATGACATTTCCAAACAAAGACATGGGAGACCGGGATTTCCACTTCTGACATATTAGCCGTCATCAGCCAGTCATACCCAACCCCGAAGTGTGGAACATCTGGGGCTCGATCCTGAAGCCTGTTAGCTAGAAGTTCAACGCCTCTAACCACTGTGTCAAGGGCTCGTTGTTCTGTCGGTTTCGATCGGGAATGTACAATGGTAGAGGGGCGTTCACCGATCGTTCTTACGCAACTCAATCTTCCCATTGTGCCTTAGGGGACGACAGCTAATAAGCCAGAAATGGCTATTCCAGTCTCTTCTTGTCCTTGTCGGTAATGCCATTCTGCCTATATCATGGGTCGCTATGCGGCTGCTGGTTGGCCTTCAGAGATGACGCGTAAGACACAACGGGGCGAGTAAGTTCCGTAAGAACGATCGGTGAGCGGCCCTCTACCAAAATATTTCTGTTAACGCTGGATTAGGAAGGGAAAGAGTGCGCAAGCAGTGCTCGAAACACGCGCAGGAAAGCGAGTGTAGGTGGCCTGTACACACCCCCCCCCTCCCCGACAGAATAATTGGGGGGGCGGGAGGGCGTAGTCACAACTGGAAGGACGCTGAGGGTACCACATGGTAATTCACAGTACAGGGCCACCGTATTGAGACCAACGGGGTTACGCACCGTCGGAACAATTTCACCGGCAAGTCTACTTGGCCACGCGCTGGCTGAGGATGATGAAGAGAGTGTAAGCAGGGCTTGAAACACGCGCAGGGAAGCGCGTGTGAACTGATACCTGAAGTAACTGAGGCTGGCGTATAAGAACTACCCTCCCCCGTGGCAAGTCGCTCTCTGGACTTTTAAATCCAGATGCAAATACGTGGTATTTGTAAAGTCGGTGTATTCGCATCTATCATTTTTTTTGGAAGACTAACCATATAATAGCATTCATGTGGGGTTGCAGGACCAAGCCTGGCCTAGACTAGACGGTTTTTGAAATAAGCGTTTCTTTTCTGGCGCGCTCCCCTATTTCCCAAACGATATCTTGCCAGTCACGATCGTGGAGCTCAGGACCATACAACCACACCAGGCTTAAGAAGGCCATACGGAGACAGCCCGACGGCGAGTTTACTCGGTGAAGAAGAACAAGAACCGCCAGACCAACCACCCGAGACTGATTCAGTCACCTCACGCCGACGGAGTGGTGACTCACAACGCAAGCAGACAAAACGCCCATCAACCATCGCCCAAGAGGCCGAGGCAGCGAGAGGAGGGAAAAGTCGATCAGCACGAGGTCGACAAGCGTGAAACACCACTTGGGAATTCTGGTCGACTAAGTGCATTTTACGCTTTGACAATGGAGAGCCGACCAAGCTCTTCAAAAGGCCAGCATCTGAATAAAGCTGTTTCAGTGAGCCGTTCTTCTTCTTTTTCTTTTTCTTTTTCTTCTTTTTCTTCTTTTTCTTCTTCTTCTTCTTCTTCTTCTTCTTCTCTTCTCCTTCCTCTTCTTCTTTTTCTTCTTCTTCTTCTTCTTCTTCTTCTCCTCTTTCTTTTTCTTCTTCTTTTTTTCCTCTTCTTCTTCTTCTCCTCCTTCCTCTTCTTTTTCTTCTTCTTCCTCTTCTTCTTCTTTCTTCTCTTGCCAATCTGGGTATATTGCTCTGTTTAGCCGTTTTCGCGGAGCATTTTATGCAGTTGGTAGAGTTCTGATTTGACAGTTTGGAATGAGCAGATACTTCGCACTCTAACCGCCTATTCCTGGACTAAATTCCCCTTTAAAGTTAGGAGATCAAAAGTGTGCAAATTGTAGTATCGTCTCGTGCAAACTTTTATTCGTAATACCTTGTATAGGGTCGATTCCTCTTCTTGCCTGTGCAGAAGGACGTCAATAAACGCAACTCCCTTAATCGTCTCAGGCTCTACAGCAACCTCAGCGACATCTACGCCTCTTAAACGGCTGAAACAAGCTGTCATTTTCAATGGTGTGGTCTGTGAGTCAGACGATATCGTTCACCAATCGGTTGAGCATGTTTACTGCGCGGTTGCACTTTGAATGGTTGAGAAATAGTTGCCGTGGTGGTGGCACCAGAAGTGCAGTATTTATAGCACGTGGCCGCCGTAGGACCATATGCACACGGCAAATAACAGTTCTCGCAATCACCGCTGGGGTCGCAATTGATGCGTTGGTGTCTTGTCGGTCAGAGTCTGAGTCGTCAATTGCCGCGATTTCGTCATCTGTGCTAGATGCTGGTGTGACAATTGCTCGGCAAAATGGCCCACTGTCACCGTGATAATTGCTCGCCCGCGCCATCCCCACGTGACTGATTCTCCTGCCCAGGGAAAATCGCAGTATGGAATAGAGTACTGGGAGGTCATTATGCTTGTTGATGGATTGCGGGCCCGAGAATTATGACTCGAGCAGCTCGCGGCTCACGCGGTCGCCACCTCTTGGGGGGATTCCGGCCTCTTGAAATTCGAAAATATGGCCGGGTCCCGTCGGGTGTGCCGCCACCTGAGAGTTAGCGTCTCCCCGCCTCACTGCTGCTGCGTGCTCGACGATTCGTGTACGGAACAATCCCCCAGTTTATCCGACATAGTTGCTTTGTCCGCAATTATACCATATCCGCTAAAGGACTCCAGACGTTTCCTGCCGTGGCAGCGGGTCTTTTGTCCTCATGACGTGGCGCCTAATGTTTGCTTTCGGCCTGTGTGAAACCTCAACTTCAAGTGGCGTGAGAAGACGACTGACGGCTTTCGAGACGTTCTTCACGCACGGAAGAGCCCGCCAAAATTTGAGGCTGGTTGGAGTTGGTTCTGGTGTACTTTTCGAATGTACTGTTCGACAAAGTTGTGCTGGTAACCATTGGCTCTTATTACCCATCGAAGATATTGTAATTCAGCAACCTTGTCTTCCATTTCACTGCAGTGCGTTTCAACTCGCCGGTATAGCGCCCTTACGCAACTGGCCCGTCACGCCAATAAATGTCTTCTTCCAGAGACAGTTGGGTTTCGGTCCACATCATTGTGACCTAATAGCACGCTTCTCTTTTCTCCTGTTTTCTGTTGACCACGGTAGCCATTCATCTTGGCCACATCATCCAGCCCCACACTCCGGACTGGAAGAGATGGAAAAGCCGGATGGATGAACTAATTAAATATCCGGGCAAATCTTGAAGCAGCAGCTGCCCTGGTCGCAAACGTCTGATCTGCGTGACAGCGACCACTTAGAGACAACTGAGAACAAAAACAACACTGTCAACTCCTGGTGTTTCTGCTCAGAGCTGTGTACTGCGCTCACAGTTCAGTTAATTTATCCACACTGGTAGATAGACCGTTTAGTCAGGTTTGTGGGCAACCGAATTCGAGAGTATAATACACCCCAGTAGACTGATTTTAAAAAAGATAAATAATTCAGGTATTCTTGGTAGACAGAGGGAAAATATGTGGTTTTTGTGTACAAGATGAACATGTACGGTAGGGGGAATCAATCCACGTATGAGGCGAACACCGTGAGGCTCACAACGAACTGCTCCTCCACGCACTCCACTGAGAAGTAATCATCAAAATTTGTGTTCCAGAGGCACCGCGATGCAACCAGCATGGACTGCTTGTCATTATCGGCGACCACACAGAACACGACGAATTTGTACCTAAAAAGGACAGAAAACAGACAGTGGAGACTGTATCCCACAGTGATTTAGCTTTATAGCACCCCTGTCAAACACTGCGTACACGCGCGTGAATCAGCATTCGATTGGCTGACACCGTGACGAGGATCGGCATTTCCCTCGCCATCGATTGGTCGCAGCGGTGCAAAGCTTAGGCGCAGGTTCACACTTTGCAAATACCTTAAACTGCCTGCTGAGCACAGTGCCTTCACCTCGGTCCCGATGAAGCTAGTTGAGTAGGTCTTTGTCACCGAGCTTCTGATTTAGGTAACTTAGACTTGTAGATCATCGTCTTTCAACAAGAGTTCCATCAGCGTACACTTGTATGCAATGCAGATAGGGGTGTATTGGTGATGCCGAGATATATCTCCCATGAGATTTCTTCCGCGAGTAGTAGACACTGCCCTCACTAATTAAAAAAAATTCTAAAAAAATTGGCGCTATAGGTCTCCGTGATTATTCGCTCTAAGCGCAAACTTTGCGTTTTCGTCCTATCTGCGATCTGTGTCGTTTAAAGGCATGGATAGAAGCCCACAAGCTTCTACTTACTGAACATATTTCTCCTATCCCCTACAGGTCACCCCTTAGCGACGTCAGTCTACACTTTTTAACTTTCCAGAATTCTCAGTGTTAAACACATAAAATCCTTTCTGGGAGAATTCAAAATCCTCGTCTGCATGGTGTTTGCTAATGTTAGCCATACAATGAGTAACTTCGGATCCTAGTCGATTTTCCTTTCTCCATGGAAGTCGCCGTGACCAAGGTGGAATAAATCGAGTTTTTGTGGCCAACTTAGTGCCTTCGCCCGTACGGAAGGTCTCCATCACCTCTGTCAGGTAGTAATGCCACGCAACCAAGTACGTCTGATATTACCGGTGGGGCTGGCAATGCCTCGGGTGAATGAACCACCGGCGCAAAAGTGAGGGCCTTCAGTTGCAAGCATCTCGAGGCTCGATCACCAGTTCAGACTGGATCTCGGCCGGAAATGCAAAAATTTAGTCGCATAGAATATAATTCGGCACAGTCTTACATCGCAGCCGCCCCTGTTTAGGGTCAGGGGTGGGGTTTGAGGTTAGGGGTTAGTGGTTAAGTTTAGAGGTTGGGCTTAGGCGTTAGGCTAGAGCTTGTCAACTGCAGGCACGGCTACGAAATAAGATCCGATCGATAATTCTACGATTGTAAGGGAGGACGTCAAGCGCCGTGTGGGTCTGTGTGCAATGACCACTCCAGCGTGAGTATATCTATATTGAACTTGACATTCAAGTCGTAGGCCTTACAGCCTGTACTCGAACGTACCCCCGCTGACATCGTTAAAGTCGATCGTTCTGCGTCACTAACGCACCAGAATAGCTTTCGTCAACAGTTGGAGGAGAGCAGTATATCAGCAGGGATGAAACTGCAGTCTGATCCACAGGAATTGGTTGACCTTTCCAATGCGTATCTACATTTCCCGGCTGTTAGAGAATTGTGAATAGTATTGTTGCTCATGTTGGATATAGAACGGAACATGGATTTTTTTAAACCGCCGACCACGCCATCATCAGACTTATTATAAACGCAGACGAAAGGGTAGTCATGAATTAACTGTCATCCAGCACAAAAGTACAACTCACTAGCATCAATCTCAGCGACACTCAACTCAAAACCGTGAACAGTTCCGCCTACTTAGACATCAAACCCTCACACAGCAGGAAAATCGATTACAAAGTGGTCCGCTGCATCTCCAGAGCCTGCCAGGTCTTAAATCGGCTGCAGGATAGAATTGACACAGACTTCGAGTAAAAGGAGGCTCGAACTATACAGGGCGGTCGTTCCGACAACTTTAAGATACACGACAGAGACATAGACTGACTGCAGGAATCAATCGCAGGAACTTATTCCATTCTAAATCGAGTGCCTCCGGAGGGAAGGACGGAAGCTGGACAGGGTCACCGAAAGGGAAGTCGTGGAACTGATCAGAGCCTTAAACAACCATATGATGCTGAGGCAACTGTACCTGCGATAGAACGGCTAATTCGTCCGGACGGACAATCAATGATTACGCAGACGACACTTCTACGGGGTTAACCGACAAGGAGGACAAAAAAAGCGTTAAAAAGACATCCTGAAGAACTCCTGGATGCACCTAAAATCAACGCGGTGATCAGGGGGACCTGTCTCAGGACCGACCGGCCTTGAGAAATATAGAAGATATGACAGCGGCAATCTACGAAGACAGCTGGATCGCTGCTGCCGAATTCAAAACAGCGGGTGACCACGGAGCCAACATGCACTCCCATCCACACCGACAGCGGACATTTTGTGCGTCGATAAACCTCACGGCACGTCTGCGGGCCAGTATAACACCAACTCAATATGCCACAAACTGCATCCAAAAAACACCGCCATCGTTGCTCTGGCATCAACCCTGCGGCATCCACTACGATGATGCACCACCGTCGTCGATGCAAACCGCCTTCATCATTCCTGTCACAATTGCCGGGATGACGACCTGTATTGCCTCTCACACTCCCGCCACCGACAAGAACATGTTCCACACCCCTCCAACGATTTCCTTCGCCAACAATGCGCCTGCAACCGATAATGTGGACTTGATCCAAACCTGTGTTTGTTGCAATCGCACATTCACCTCGCGCAACGGCGTGGTCGACCGCTTTCGAATCTATCACACTGTGAAGAAGGAGGCAATGCCAGGAGCAACCACATACATTCGCCGCATCAGCCTATGTGCTTCAACTCCTACAACTTTGTCCTAAGAGATAGTTTATGTCTGACAAGACAATCCAAGTGCAGGCGAGGGGCGTACCAATGTTTTCGCAGGTTTTAGAACTCATCGTCAATGCGGTCCTGCAACGGCTAGAGGAGCTAGTTTCCCGACATCATAGACCGAAATTCAGGGTCCGGTATGTGGATAATACCTTCGTCGTTAGGGACCAGGATCAATTGCCGGCATTCAAGGAACGCCTCAACGCTGTCTTTCCAGACACATAATTTGCGATGGAGGAGGGGGAGAATAGCCAGCTGGCCTTTCAGTATGTCCCCGAACGCCGAAGAGATTATGATAACGTAAAGACTGATCTGTTCAGGAGAGCGACAAATATAACAGAAGTACTGAACTTTAATAGTAACCACCAAATCAACCATAAACACAGTTGTTCTAGGACGCTCTATTGGCCTGTTGAAACGTACTGCAAAGAGCCGGAAGACAAGATTGCTAAACTGTAATAGCTTCGACTGTGTCCAAAGCCAATGGCTACCCGCCACTCTTCGTCGGCAGGTGTAAAAACAAACGGTACGAAAGGTCAAATCCCGCAGGCCGCAACTTTTGGCGAACGCTTCAGAAGGCCTCAGTCGTCTTCTCGCACCAGTTTGGGTTGGAGTTGCACACATACCGGAAGCAACCATAATGCGTCAGGTAATGAAACCGAAAGACTCACTGCCAGGGACGGCTGGAGTCGTTTATCGGATCTAGTGCGCCTAAAGGCGTTTGAGTCCACTGTTAAAGGTATTATTTCTGGTAAACGGATTTTTTTGGGTGCCATCTCCAGATTGTTACCCCATGTCAGAGAAATTGAAAGCCTGCTCCGAACTCGAATGGCTGAACACGGGTCAGCTTTGCAGAGAAATGACACCAGTTTTCAAGTTGCGGTTCATTCGACGAGATCCGGCCACACACTCGGATTCAGTGAGGCCGAAGTTCTCGCTAAAGGTGACACCAGTGTAGGCCGCCAACTGTTTGACTCAGGTTGCAAACGAGTGCAATAACCTTCCTCTTCCATGTTAAATACTGAGACAAAGACTAGGCTGAAGAATTAACAACGGGAGGGGGACATACAAGCGAACGCTAGTCCCAACGACACGGTCGGTGGTTAAGCGATCATCACCCCAACATCCAACAGGTGTGATGAAGTTGCAGCAATTAGCGACGCGAATGTTGGCCATAAAACAGTCATCACACCATGTGCGAGAATTCTTGATGATGGAGGGGCCGTAAATTTATATAAGTACGTGGTGTCATGGCGACTGCATCCGGCAAGTACTAGAGTCCCTTGTGCATGAACTGTCTGTATTTGTTGTTGTCTCTGATGATGAGCTCGAGTAGGAACTGGAGGCGCCAAGCGAATAAAACTTCCGTTCCAGCGATCCTGTCCCCTTCTGCCTTTCCCGCCCACACTCATTCATACAGTGCATGGGCCTATGAGGCCACATGCGGATCCACGTCAAGGAGTTTACCGCGATAGCGACATATCCAACACGCCTTGCACATTTACCAACTCTCCCATTCGTAGTCTAGTAAACTTCTTATCGAATAATGTGCCCACTACCAGCACCACCATACTGAAAAGCGACTGAGCATCCTCCAAACTACCTTGCTCGCGGTACCGTCACACAGACACATACGCATCGGCTTGGTCGGTCACTTCCAAATCCATCGTACAAAGACTGGCCAAACGTCGCCCGGAACACCAACGAATCTCTTGACCACCATCCACGCTGTCCGCATAATATTCAGCCAGCGCCTGGTCCTACCTGTTTGTACTGGCCTCCATGAGAACCTGCAGTAAGCCACCGCCAACTAAACCGCATTGCTACAGATGGACACATTCGACATCACACTGTGCAAACATGAACTATGCACCCCTCATGTAAGTTGGGGGTGTGTTCGTCGACTCATATACGTGGTCTCTGCTACTATAACACATGTCGGATCCGAGCAACCCACGACCCAGTATGTGAAGTCTTGGTGTGTGCGTATAAAAAAGGCTCAGACAGTCTTGCTTCTTTACTTAAGAAATTACTTTGTTATAGTTAAGCCGGCAGCGGAGAGGGAATACCCTCGAAGCAACCTGAACCTCACTGAAGTGAGTGGTGTCGTGGAGATCATATGAAGCAGGAGGAATTGCTGCAGTCGATTCACTCACACCATTTGCAATTATTGTGCGATATTTACAGAGGTTGCAGACGACTAACCCACCGCACTCCTAGTACTTCGTCTGTGTACATGTCCGTTGACGACAAATGCGGCAGCGCAATCCGCCTTAGCAAAAGGGCGCCATCCATAAGGGCGTACCGCATTTTTTCAAGAGACTGGACGCAGGAGTTAGAGGGACGCCCACTGGATTTCAGTGGCGAAACCACAAAGTGGGAAGATGGGGTTATATATTCCCACCTGATGGACACCATACTGTTGGGGTCAAGGTTAGGGGTTTGGGTTGGGGTTAGATGTTAAGGTTGGGGGTAAGGGTTGGGACAACTATTTCTTAACCACTAAAAGTATAACAGCGCATTCCAAATAGCTTTAGTACATACAAGTGCTTGATCTCGTCACCTGTGTGCTGCTGGCCCCACCTGTAAAAACCCCTATTGCCACCGGTCCCGTAGTACAGAAGGCTGAGGCTTATTTACTTCAGGCAGGGCCACATAACCGCACCTGACATAAAAAGTTAAGGTTTCTTGCAGAGTTCTAGGGGTAAAGTGCTTCTGCCCTGCACTTTGTTCCGCAATTCTAAAAACGAAATTTCTGATCACCCTGCCGTTTACAGTGCTTTAAGATCTGCATTTATGCTGGAACATTTGTCGACCACGAGTACCGCTCGTTCCTTATCTCATTTAATTTGCCTTTTATTGCTGCATGTGACTGAGGCGTCTGGTAGAACGCGCATGGCTTCCTTGATTTATTCTCCACCTACCGCTGATTCTTGGTACCTAGCGTGAACACACCGTATGCTCCGTCCTTTCGATTCAGGTGACGTTATTAATTTGAGTTCCGTCCTGATACATTGCAGGGTTTGTTTCATGTGCTCACGCAAGGGCACTAATTTGTGAGAATTTTTTCCACGCCCTGACTGGCAAACGCGGCAAAACAAAGTTTTTTTTCATTTTCTTCATAATTAGCTGCAACTGTTTTTTTCCATAAGACAGATGAGGGGTTTTCAGTTTGTTATGTAGTCTGCCTAAGCAACACTTTTTCCATTTTTAAAACTTAAAGGCAAATAAAAACGCGATTTCACACTGCCAAACTCCACGGCCGAAGTGAAAATAAATGCGTGGGAAAAATGCGTTTGTCTTTTGACTAAAGGATCATTATTTTTTAGTAACAGATCGCTACTTGAATCTTCTTATATACAGTACCTGTGCTTACGCATGAAATGCCGAGGTCCAAATTAGAGTGGAAACTGTAGCGTATTTTTGGTGTTGTTATTGGTCTTTATTTAGTTGAAATAAGGACGAAAAGGCCGTTTGCTGAAGGAAAGTTTGATACGGATCTGTATACTAAATAGAAAAAGCCACAAACTCTAACCGTTTTGGACCCATTCCCTGAACGGCTGTCCGTACTTCGTTGCACAACGCCTTCGCGAGCGTACCAGGCGATGAATGCGACATTAGCCTTTGCACGGCGTCGTGAACAATTTCTTGTGCGAAATTCTGTAGACGTTCAGGTTCGAAGATCTGCTTTGGTTCTAGTTGGAAAGTTGGCGCGACTGGAATGGCGACACGGTAGAGACTCAATGACGTGAGAGCTACCAGTAAGTGATATAAATACAGTTTCAAATACCAGCTACTTGACAAATGCAAGTAGCACCATAAGATCGACACTACATAGAGTGTTGGAGATTGAACATATTTTATAGAGTGGTCGGTATTTCGAGGATATCAGGATGAGTGTTCTATTAATCGATAAAATCTCCTGAAACAGATTCTTATGTGATAGCTGTAATTATCAGGTTAAAAGTCGGTGACTACAGTAGGAGATTAGACACTTCATATGACTAAATTATTTAGACACTCGTGAGTGATCATAGGTTGCTTCATCTAATCAGAGAACCTGCCACTCTGTCAAAAAGGCCTCAGTTAAGATAAATTAGCAGAACATAAAATATGACAGGATAAAATACTTCGGTCTACCTTGACAACAAGATGCACGGAGTCAAATTTAAAATTGTGCAGCCTGCATACGTGACACTTTCTAGGACATCAGAAAAGTCGGAAATGGCCAGTCTTATGTGCGTAATTTGTATGCATTACTTCTCGGCATTTATCGTCAGCAGTTATGTAATGGTCTGTCTAATTTGGAGGCCGTAAACAATGACCTTAAGAATGGATAAACTGTACTGCAGGTACCGCACGCGGACTGAAGACGCTGCAAAGTCATACCGGGGCGTAATTTTTAAAGGTCAACGAAGAACGAAGATAGACAATTTGCAAAGCAAAAACACAGAAGAATTGGCGTCAGGAAAATCTGACGTCATTCCGAAACCTGCGTATGGATGCCCAGTACGCAAGGCGTCATTTCTTGAAATGCATACATTGTTTAGGTTAGCGTAATAACTCTGTTTAAGCGGACTAATTGAGGGCCTCAATGCTGGCGGGTTCTCATGGAGACACTTACATAGAAAGGTAGCTACGCATTTTATACATTTCGCAGGACACGGAACAGCGGTTTCTAAAAATTATACCGTCTCAGAACTGGTGCACGTCTACATTAGATGATATACAAGAAATACGTTAAGGACAGTTTCATTTGATTGACGCTCTCTGAAGTGTCGGCGTGGTCACCAAAGTTCAATCCTCACAGACCCGTTGATTTGAGGGCCATTGCTTCAACGTCGATAAAAATGCACTTAAAAGGCCACTCATTTAATAATCCCGTGTTCCTTGTCATTAACTTTAAAATGATATGTAAGAGGAAAATGGCATACGACTATCAGATGCGCTTGTGAATCTTTTCATATGATAACCTTAATGACGGCGGCATAAGAAAGCCGTCTAACAGTCTTCAACTCCTTAATTACCGCACCAGTAATATATCCAAGAAGAATCGTTGAATAAAGAGGTTCGTTGCGTTGCCTCTACAAGTTTGGAATTTCCAGCAAATTTCAGTGTGCACTTGTGATTGCGTGAGTTTGGGTAATGACGAGTTCGGACATGTGTGTTAAATGAACCGTTTAATTTTTTAACCGCAGAGGTCTCATTCGCCATATTTAGAAAGTATCTTACATATAGGACGTATCGAGAGATGCCGGAAGTAAAACTACTTCCAGAGGTACACGCATCACTAGTTTTTCACACTGTTCAGCTCGACGGCGCCAAAAGAGACGGTTAGTTGAAGGATGAGATTTGAATACCTTATGAATCAGCGGAAATTAAAGTTATTCGTGATAAGTAGACGTGGGCTTTGTTATTCATCTAAGAGCCGCATTAATTTTTTTGCTGCGGCGAAGTTTATCGTGCCTTGTAATGATTGCTTTTCTAAAACTCCTCGCCTGCAAACCAAATAAAGATATTATGAATTTCTAAAAATTCAGAAGTTCGTAAAACTCTACAGTACATGGATATTCAGATAAGAGTGGGTCCTACTTCAAACCGCCTACTCTAAATGAGTACGAACGTCAACCTAATATATTGTTTACCTATTATAACTGCGTAGCATAAACCGACTCAGCAGTTGGTTATAATATCATGCGGGCCTCAACCATAGACAGAGTAGCAAAACAGCTAACAATGTCATCACCTATTATGCTTTCATTATCCTGAATCATGCTGAAGGTCACTTGTGCGTTCAGACGGAGGGCACTCATGAACGCTCCTGGCGTGATCACTGGGAGTATTCCACCTGCGTTAATGCCTCCAACTGGAGACGTGGTTGACCAAACCATTTTGAAATCAGGGCACGCACGTTATGTTTACTAGGAGGCGTAACCTTTGACGGAATCTGCCATACGAATCGTTGAATAAAGATATTCGTTTATGATTTGCGTTACCTCAAAAAGTGTGGGATTTGTCAGCAAAGTTTAGAGTGTGCGCCTGTGATTGCGTGAGTAATGACGCGGTCGGACGTGCCCGTTAAATAAGCGGTTTAATTTTTCACCCGCAGAGGTCCCATTCATCATATTAAGAAAGTGTGTTACAAAGAAGATGTATCCAGATTTGTCAATATTAAAACTACTTCCAGAGATACACCCTTTTCTGGTGTTTCGGATTTTTTTGCTCGGCGGCGCCATAAGAGACGGTAACTTGAAGAAAGAGATTTGCATGCGTTATGTATCAGCGGAAATTAAGGTTATTCTTAATAATTTAATTTGTAATTCATCTAAGCGCCACATTTATTTATTGTTGTGGGCTGTTTTGTGACGAGTATGTTCACACACACGCCTCCGTCGAACGACGAAGTTTGTCATGCCTTGCAATGATTGCGTTCCTAAACTTCCTCATCTGCAAACCAAATAATGATATTATGCAATTCTAAAAATTCAGAAGTTCGTAAAACATTACAGTACATAGATATTCAGATAAGAGTGGGTCCTACTTCAAACCGCCCACTGTAAATGAGTACGAACGGCGTCCTACTATATAGTTGGTTATAATATAATGCCGACCTCAACCATAGACAGAGTAACACAACGGCTAACCCTCTACTATGCGTTCATCATCTTGAAACATACTGAAGGTCACTTGTGCGTTCACACGGATGGCGCTCAAGAACGCACATGGCGTGATCGCTGGGAGTATTCTACCTGCGTTAATGCTTCCAACTGTAGACGTGATTAACCCACCCATTTCGAAATCAGGGCATGCAAGTTACCTCTGCTAGGAGGCATGATCTTAGACTGAATCTGGCATAAGAATCGTAACTGTAGGATTGACGAGAACATGAGACGAAATAATAGTCTTTCAATAAAACGCTCTAGGTGAACTCACACAACCTGCCGATGGAGCGTCTACTTAGAATATCCAGCAGTCTCCGATGTGGCGTGAGAAACTTCCGGAGGGCCTTCTGGGCAGTCAGTGCACCCATAAAACTCAAGGGGGCCGCGTTCGTTGCCAGAGAGGGCTTTCGGTTTACCACGATTTTTGCAAGAGTCTTTTTTCTGCTGGGTGTAGTACCAGAAGCGTCCTCTGTAAGAGAAGGTAGAGTGAGCGCATAAATCTTTCAGCCCCTCCTGTTATGTCATCTGTTAACTACTGCTGTTAACACAAGTACTGTTATCCTTTGTACCAATATTGCTGGGCATAGTTCTGATAAAACGAGAGCAGGGGGAGCAGTTATTAATAAAATCACTAACATATATCTAAAGACTACTTCGATGGTTCACTTAGATGAATATTGCGGATAAAATTAACTTTTAACGATGCTCATCCCAATTTGCCTTGAAGATATGGTTTTTATTAAATTGTCGGAAGCCAAATAGAGGAAAACACGCATGAGATTGAACAAATCATTCAAACTTGACAAATACAGCTTTTAAATATCAGTAGGCTACAAATTTAGTATTCCAAATGTACATTGCTATATATATGCAGAGTAACATTACGAGAAAGACAAGGGGACTGGAGTAGCCGTTTGTGGCTTATTAGCCGTCATTAATCAGCCATACATAAATCCGAGGTGTGGGAAACCTGGAGCTCGATGCCGCGACCTCTTGGTAAGGAGTCCAAGGACTCTAAGCACTGAGCCACGGAATCGTTGTCCTGTCTGTTACGATCGGGAATATACAATGGTAGAGGAGAGGTCGCAGATGTTATTATGAAACTCTTTCGTCATGGTGTGCCCTAGGGCTCTCTCTCTCGATCCTAACCAGCAGCTGCACATCGGCGCGTAGTATAGGCAGAATAATATTGCCGATTAAGACAAGGGTTTGGTTGTGACTGACTGACGACGGCTGATAAGCCATAAAAAGCCGTCCCAGTCTCCCTTAACTTTGTCAGTAATAACATACTGCCTATATCATGCACCGCTGTGCGGCTGTTGGTTGGGCTCGAGAGAGAGCCCGTAAAGCACAACGGAACGAGTGAGTTCCGTAAGAACGATCGCCGAGCGCTCCCTAGCATTGCATATTCCCGATCGAAACCGACAGGGCAACGGGCTTGTGGCCTAACAAATACATCCTATAAATATTGTAACACCTGGGCAATCCATTATCCTTATCTGACACTGTCTTTGATGATGGACTCGAATGAGCATCCGAAACGTCAGGCTAATAAGACACTTGTTCTGGCGATAATGTCTCCTCCGTTACTAATATCTATTGCTTTGTAACGCCGGAATCTTCGTCAATATTGGTTCGGTTTCGTTGGCGTACCAAAACGGTCAAATAAGCCATTAGGATGCGATATGGGATGAACCACAAACTATTCGAATATTAAGGCTCGCGCGGAATGTTGTACTAACCACTGTTTATGCGAGATTAGACGTTGTTTCTTTCGCGCATCCTCATTCATGAAGGTTAGAGCAGTATGTAATCCCACTGATGTAGATTTAAATGGCCGATTCAGAAATAATGATATTTAATTCGCATTATTGATTCGAAGTCATAGCCGCACCTACTTCAGTCCCCAAACTACTAAACTGCGTTTAGATAAAACAAAAGCCTACTTAGATAAGCACTTCATCCCGTTCCGTAGGGTAAAATAAGGCTTTCACGACAATAAATGAGCCAATTTTGGAGACGTTGATATGTGAAGCAGACGGACCTAATTCAAATTATATTTAATTTTACAAGATTACTGCGAAAATTGCTGTTAAAAAACAGCCACTTCATCTCTTTTTAAGTTTGGACAGTATCAGTACCTAAGGATATCATAGTGTGGTCCCGGGGACATAAACCGCTTTAATAGAATGCAGGGCAGACTGTTTAATATAATGTTGTCGTCATATTATATGCGCGCCAGCCGAATAAGTCTGCGATTGGCGAAAGTATGACCCCATCGTTGGAGACTGTTTGAAACTTATTAATTTCTTTCAGATGCACATTAATTACTTGTGTTTGGGTTACCCCGATTTGCAAAGCACGACAAAGACCTAAAGTCAGTAACGAATACAAATGTCTGTACTAAATTAAACAGCGTTCTTCAGAAAAATTACGATCCTGAGGAAAAGAATTCTGTTAAAATGGAGACTGATCAGTTTTTACCCATGCAAGAAATAGCATATTGGCACTATACAGGGTACGTACAAATTCACAAAAGCCTTTTATACAATCACCGGCAATGCACTCCCACCTTCCTAGCGAATAATTTCCTCAAAATCCTTTTTTACAGGTAGAAAGACGGCAATTATTTGCATGAACGACGATTCACAGATGTCATTCCTACAGGGCAGGATGCGCGTAGACATACTGATAATAGTCTTCTATGATTAGAATACTCCTGTTTACCGTCAGTACTTTGAATATGTGTGTATACTAGTTGCTGAGTCGATAACAACTTGTTAAATTTGTTAGACAACAGTTTATGCAAATTTACAACCTCCTCCTGGCGGAACCATAACGATAATTACATTCCGATGCACATCGTCACTAACCTAACGAATGTCCTAAAAAGATGCTAGTTTTGCAATTTATTTAGCAACCACCGTTGAAAATTATGGGGGTTCGGCATTTATAAATGTAAATCGCTACATAATATTTGTCGGCATTGGAGTTATATGTCGAATTCCGCTTCTAAATTAACCCTTTTGAGGCAAAAGATTCTCAAGAGAGAGGCAGAATACAGTACAGGGGGTGAACGAAGCTCCTCTTCTCCTCGAAACTCGCAAATCACGCTCCAACGAAGCTGTCCTAACCCACTGAAGAATGATTCGATACTATGTTTTACCTAACGGAAAACATTTCCCGCGTCAACTGATGCGTGGGTTTTAAATGTCACATATTCACCATCAGGCGTCCGAACAGCTCATCTAGTTGCCAGTAGACTATAAGAGCAAAAATATTTGAAGCACATGAAAGATGTGTTTTATGATTTCTCCTTGTTGAAGAGGTATTTTGGGAAAAACATAAAAGCAGGAAACAGGGATATTGAAAATGAACACCTGTTGAGTATTTCTGTTGTATCGAGAAAATTGAATTTCCCACTGTAATTGGAAGCACCGAAAGCTGAAGGCGATGAAAGCACAATTGGAGCTTTCACAATAATGACCGTGATCGCGCCTTGTGAATTTAAACACACTAACGCAAACTATTTAACATTACAGGCGAAATTGACAGTTCGTTAAATTTTCCTTCTCGTACTTTCTAACAAAAACCCTTTCATATCTAAATGGTTTCAAATTTAAATCTGCATTTGTCGAACTAGGTCTATCCGCAAGATATTTAAATGGATAAATTTTCTGTATGTGCTTCTACAGTGCGGGACCGATCTCATGAAATGGCCAAAATTCTGAAATGCGTTTCCGATTGAGAAGGATTAATTTAGGTAGCCTTGTGATATTTGTTAACATGTAGCATAAGCTTCTCGTATTTCAGACTCGAAATAATGTCGGTTTTTGAATTCATTTTTTCTGACCTCCTGCAAAAGCCGTACTCGGTAAAAAATGACTACTTATGTAGCATGCATTTTCACTTTAATTTTGGTGGTCTTATAAATGCAAATATATTTTATAGAAATCAGCCTCAAAATATCCTAACTTTTACGTGTTTCGTAGAAAATCACACTGGTCTTATATTTTATACCCGAAAAAGTGTATTCTTGGATTTTAAAAAGGTTTCGCGATTCCAGAATTATTTGAGCTTGATCAGCGTTTAGCGATTTCAATCTGCAGGCTGCATGCGTTCCGTGTAAGAAAAATTGTATATTCCTCTATTCCTTTATGACGGCATTGTATAGAGTTCATAATATTTTGCAGTGGATACGGGCTGTATTGTACATTTCCCAAGGAACATTGGTAAACGGACATGTGCGTAGTTGTGTGTATGAACACTGCACGGTTTTAAAAACCTCATAATAAGAAGCCTTTTTAAAACAGAAAGATTACCTTTTTTACGGTATAAAATGTAAAGAAAATGTGGTTTTCAACCAAACGAGTAAAAGAAAACATAGTTTTTGGCTAATTTTTATAAAAAATATTTAAATTTATGAGATCACCGAAAATCAATGTGAAAAATGCATGCTTCTTAAGTAGTGCTTTTTCACTGAGTACGGCTTCTGTAGGAGGTCAAACGCCGCATCCTGCCGAGCCTGAAATCTTAAAGATTATGCTACATGACAATAACTATTTAAACGCCAGCTTAATTTATCCTTCCTAGTCGAAAACGCATTTCAGAATTTCGGCCAACACATTCATGATATCGGTCACGCACCCCATTTGCGCGTTATTTAGTTAAAAACTGTTTTATCCCACAGAGTATGAAAATGGTGATCCCATCGCGAGGGAATTTGCGTTCACTAAGTGCGGGTTTAATGGACTGGACGTTATGCCGACTATCTGATATTTTTGGGCAGGTCTTAATTGATCTTTCCTGTTTTGATGTCCCGCCTAATCCCCCGTACAAAAGATCAGTCAAACGTTTAGAGTGCTGTAGCAAAAAGTGCCGTTCACTGTCCAACGCGTTTGTTTACCTGCGCACAAAGGATGCATGGCCCATGATATTTGCTCAGAAATAAGAAACGGCTTACGACCTCCTTCTTTGAAACTGTTTTGTTTGGCTTAGAAGGAAGGCGATACATGAGTGGAAGGAATACTTTAAAACGTAGAATACGTTATTTGACGAGCTGTTTGATTTCCACCAGAAAGGATTAAATTTTTCACTAAACAGCTCCTATGAAGTGATTAATTTTTGAAAACAAAGGCGATGGATCAGTTCGTAAGCTTTACTTTCCTAAATGTCACATGCCTCATTTAAAAAGAATGTAGGGCGATCGGATCTTATTTTGCAGCCGCATATGCAGTAGGCAAGCCCCAGCCGCCCTAACGCCTAACTCTAACCCCAACCCCTAATTCTACTCTCTAACCCTAACTCAACACAGGCGCGAGTACTAAAAGGGATCTTACCTAAAGAGCTAATGACGAGCAGGCAAAGCTCGGGATAGTTATGCACTGTGCCCTTATGGCTCATCAGCAAGCCCTTGGCATATGGAATTTGTGATTATGGTTATGCATAGAAGGATATTATGACAGATGGGCGCTCACCGATCAGGTTACAAAACATGCTCGTTCTGTTGTGCCTTGGGGCTCATACTTAAACCCTCGCAGGCAGTCGCACAGCGACTAGTGATATAGGTAGATAAGGTGATACCGACAAAGACAAGGGAGACCGAAATAGCCAGTTCTGGCTTATTAGCCGTAATCAGTCAGTCATACCCAACCTCAAGTGTGGATCACTTGAGATTGGTGATATATATTCCTACATATATTTGGACGACACAGTGATCATTACCCTGTCATGCTCTCTGTTAGATACTCATAGGCGACAAATCAAATGTGCGGATCTGTGCACATTGTTCCAAAATTTTCTCCTAAACAAAGACGTTTCTCTTCTATTGTTTGAATATGCTGAAATACAAATAACAAATTCCAACATGCGGCAACGCGTGTTCCGATTTCGCTGCCATTTAATGTTGATGGATCATAAATCGCTTTAACGCTTCGGAACATGTTTTAATCAAGAGTGATATACATCGTGAAATTACTTATCAGACGCAGTTTGTCGGACAAGAGTTTATCGGGGACAAGCACCATCAACATGGACAAATTTTGGAAGCTTTTTAAGATAGCTAAAGGTATCCCAACTTTCTAAGAAAACTTGGTGATTCAGAGGACTTTATTTTTTTCCGGAATCTGGACAACTTTTGACAATTTTGCCACTCTTCTACTTCTTCATCTCTTTGTATGTGCTAGTCGCAACATCCGCATTTAAAGTTACGTTTCTAGTGTATACCTTTCTGATTTTTGTTTACATTTCAGAGCTTAAAAACCGGCAGCCAGTTGCACTGACATGTAACTCACAGATTATTACTAGGAGCACTCACAGGGGTTCGATGGTTGCTTGGTTTCAGAATTGATGGTTGACGACAGGATTTCCGAATGGAGCGTGTGCAACATCACGTCGCAGCAACGAACACATTTCCCAGGTCATTTAGCACTTGTCAGCCATTAAGCGGGCTAATTATTTATATTATATAAGTATGTATACCTAATTCCCAAAGTCTGTGCAGTTCTGAATTCAACAACTTTTAGAATTGTAATATCGTATTAGTTCCAACAAAAAATAAAACAGATTTTTGTTCATAATGCCCTTGACAGAAACCCGTAAAACCTAAAAATTCACCTGGTGCTTAGAAATTCGCATTAAGGAAGATGACCTGTAATTATTACACGATTTTGCTCAATTTGGCATCCTTTTAGAGTGCCTTCAAAAGGCGTTTTGGTTAGGTCGCGGTTGGTAATCAGGAATGGGGAAGCGGACGGCGAGGTCCCTGAACCTTACTCTAACCTCAAACTTGAACTCTAACCCAAACCATAACCCTAAAACCTAACCCCAAACATAACCCTAATATCCAACCGTGACGGTAACCGTAAAGCGTAAATCTAAGTCCCGAAACCGAAATCTAACCAAACTCCTAAAACCCAGCGTAAAACAAACCCTAACCACAACCGTAAACCTAACTTTAACCCTAAAGGGAACCCAAACCGAAATCTTAAACCTAACCGTAGCCCTTAAGCATAGCCCTAACCCTAACACTGAAACCTGACCTTAAAACGCAAACCCTAATCCTAAAACTTGACCTTCGCTTTACCCTCACTAAATCCAACAGCCTGACCGAAACGGGCGACCTGCCTAAGTCAGTAGGAGCATACCTACTGAAAACAAGTTCCAGAGACAGGGTAAGCATACCTACGGATAACAAGTACGACGACAGTATCAACGTACAATGTCTGGCTACCAACTACGATTTTACCGGTTTTTTGTTACAACACTCTCATAAATCAATTTCAAAACGTAAATCTCGAGGACTGTCTCTTCGGAAAAAGGCTGTAGACAAACACTGCCCGAATGCAGAAGGTAAGAGGATGCATGAAAAGTGCTTTTTCTTAGTATGCAATAATCTTACGAGAATTGCTAGCTGGTTAGCGTATTGCAGAAAACAACACACTTGTCGGGCTGTATATGAAGAAACGCTAGAAATAGCCACCACTGAGTCTAACATAAATTTAAAAAAACGAACGCGTGTCTGTCCATAAAATAACAGAGATTGTGTCTATGTTACTTCTGTCTGCTTTTTTTTTACTAGAGATAGGGAATTGATAGATAATGCATCTCAGGACATCACTAAGTCTAGCTTATGCAGTCGGGTCACATTAGTTTACGAAACACAGTGTACACCGCCGACCGAGAAAATGGAATTTATTTTTGCCCAACGATATAAATACAGTTTAGATGAGTGTTCTGGAGCTTGTCAAATCGCCATCTGAGCCTCTTTTCCTGGTGTTTCATCGCTTTGTAGACTCCAGCAACTTTAAAGGACCCAAATGAATTCCACCAATATACCCAAAGGCAATTCATGCTTCTAGCCTAGCGGTTAGACATCAGACAACATAACAGGAAAATAAGAAAATTACGTGCAAGGACCGACCAATGCAGTGCAAACAGTACACCATTTTAGGAAAGTGCAACATCGTCTTCACCAAATCCGTCTCTTAAGCTGAAGATTATTCGCTTCCAAAACAACCCAATCGGTTAGTATTTATTTAAGGATCACTGCAAAAATATTCGAAATGATTGACTGTAAGGGTATAGATTTCAATAAAAAACTAAGGAGGCTTTGGAACAAATCTCCATCGTTTTAAGTCTACTTGTCTCCAGGCAGTAATTTTTGAACTGACATACACAGTAGTTTTTGCCTGAATACAACACCATATTGATACTCACACAATTGCTGTAAAACCTGCGGACTTAAAGATTATCAGAAAACCTTTAATCAATGCTTTAAACTTCATCCCATTTGACCACATTCCTATCATTCTGAAAATGGATGTCGGTCGCTCTAACAGGACGTGGTACTTTAGCCCAAAATTATCAGATGTTGCAGCCAATCACCATATGATATAATTAAGAAAATGCAGCCGAAACTTTTAAGTGAGTCGCCGTTCCCAGTACTTTCTTTTCAAGTGTTTGTCACGGTTCGGTTGGTTGGTAATAAGGTGTATAATTTAGGACGTTTGGAAGATTATAACAAGACGCCCTCTCACTTTGCTTGCCCATGGACGTTTAGTCGTAGGAGATTCATCGTGCCAGATTTTGGGCATTTTGCCAAACTTTGAACGTAACGCGTATCATCTTCGCTTTCTTCATTAGCTTGACTGGCAGACACAGGGGATATGTGCACTACCTGTCTTCTCTCTCATCTAAAGATGTGAGGAGTGTGCACACGAAGTCTCCTATTGAACACGAGTTCCCGAGTCAATCAGATGGTTTAAAGAAGGTTATTCTTATGACTATCCACGCCGGCATTTGAAATCACCATCCTGAAGAGTAAATTCTAAGGGGAGTTGACGCAGACCAGTTACAAAATGTACAAGATGCGCGGAAGCCCACATAAGCGTATAAGGACTTTCTGAATAAATTAATGTTGCCCCGTTTGATAATGAGGGTGCTTGAGTACATATGTTTTTTTCTCATAATTCTGGAAATCTAAATATCGAAACCTCACACATCTACCGAAGCTATGTTTTCGCGAAAGAATTTTGAACGAACTGAAGGCGATGGAACATGCAGAATTTATTGGCATCCGTATATCAGACCAACTTTCTATGTTTTATTTACCCATTACGTTTTACCTCTCTAGGCCTATCTCTGACTGAAGAATTTACCATATCTTATGAATACGCAAGGACCGTGTGCAGTTGACAGAGAGGCCACAAAATTCAATGGCCTTTGCCTTGTTCAAAACTACATATATCACCATTGGCTATTTGAGAAATGCGGTGATTAAGAGATCGGAAATGCCTGATCAAACAATAATGCCGAAAACGAAAACGTCCGCGTCGTATCCGAAAGCGGCCGCATTCAGTAAACTGGTGATTTTGCGGGAACTACAAACCATAGATTCACCAGCCTTTAAACTCTAAAGTCTTTACCATGTGCATCACTTAATGATGACTTAAAGAGGGGGTTCAATGCTTCAGACGAAGACAGCTTCTGTTACACGAAACGAGTCTTCGTCTTCACAATCGATGAGTAGATCTAATTTGAAATTTAGAAGTTCATTGTGGTAAGTTTCTTGCATGTATGAAGAAGTGTTTTAAACCAATTCTGCTTAAAAGGTGAAATCGATCAAGCAGACTTTAAAATAGTAACTGCTTCCAGGTTGACAGTGTGATCGTTGTAGTAACTCCTGCTAAGCATCTTTTAAATCATATATGTTTTGGGAGTTTTTGAACAATTAATATTGACCCGACTGTGAGGAATACAGTTCCTCGGTCGGATCCGGACCCACACAGTAAGGGAAAGGCTTTAGTACTGCCTACGATCTAACCATCTGAGCTACGAGAGCCCAACGGATTTTAGGTGAATAAATTAGGAAATCATCCTTGGACAGTCAACTTTCTGTATCGTATATGGTGGATTCGAGACGTTGCAGTGGGTTGGGCGAGTAAACTTGACCCAAATGTGATTAAACACGCGTCGCCCGGCGGGGCCTTGTAGCTACGTTGGTCGGACCGTTGGCTGTACTAAAGCGTTCACCGAGTGTTTAACAGTTCGGTCGATAGGAATCTTTTAAGTCGTTTGCTTTTTTGCATTATTTATTTTACGAGAAATTTAATGCGCGAACTTCGAGTAAATATTTCGGAAAATACCTTTTTAGGCACGCCTCGAAATTTGATATGAATATTTGAACTGAAACCCATCAGTTACTGCAGAATAAAAAACTAATATTAAAAAACGACCACCAGGCAGTCAGTAATAAATAATTATGCAAATATTTATCATACTGACAACACAGGTATTAGCTAAAAGTCCAGACACAAGTGTTTCGCCTGACGCACCTGGGAGGTTTTCGGCTCATCAGTTAGTCCACCGGCTCTCCCTGTGTGTTTTCTGGCAAATGATCTCCAGTTTCACCTTGCGTTGTTTAGTTTCCGAGTAACATGAAGGGAATCATGTGTATCTGGGCTTTTAGTTAATACCAGTGTTATTAGCAGTTAAATAATTAAACCTTTGCTTTGTCTTTATTAAACCATGCAAAAGAACGTAAGCCTACACGAGCGGTATTGCAGCCGGGACCTATATGTTATATCTTAGGAACAAAAATAGGGACACGTCATTCCAAAACCCCTCTAAACAAATCAGCTTAAAATTGACATTTTGATCATATTTATTCTTCCAGTAGAAGAAGAAAAAACACATGACCTAGACTTGCGTTCATGCTGCTTAATATGATTCATTTCATAGGATTTCTTTTCAATAATGCAGTCTCCTGTAATTTTCACCTAAATGATCGCACTGCTAGATGGTCTAGTAGAGCGTTGTGCTCCTGGTTCCATTGGAGAAGATGTAATACTCAAAATCTCGAAGTATTTCCTTCTCTCCAAACACTTAAACTTTCATGATGGCCCTGTTGAGAAAATCATAAAGTCACCGTAAAATGTAAATTTATCCTTACGTACTATGTAGGTATGTTTTTTTCAGACGGAAACGCAATAGTGCGAGTCAGCGCATCTCTGGAGGTTCATGCTCAGAGAAAGGCGAAGAGTGTCAAAATGACAGGATGTCATCCGTCTCGTCAGATGTAATTAATTATGTACCACGCTCTCATTTGAACCCCTAACGTCCTCTTGCCACCGACTTTTTAATTAAAGTTCATCGAAAAACATAGAGAAAATTTTTACTTAGGAAACTAACCTTTAGGTGCCCGGTTAGCGTGCTTTGGATTTTCGCCGCTTTTATTTGGCGGATCCTTGATTACATCTCCCATGTCTCGCTACGGATAGTTGGTGCAAAGGCGGCGACTGGAAAGACCTGCAACATTTTGCAAACAAAAACCATTGTTATACTGTCATGTAATATCCGCAGACGATCCACCAGATTTGCGCTGGTCTTTTGCAGTTCAACTAAGTAGCGCGTGGCTCACGTTTGTAACTGTTCACATTTTAAAATCCGGCAAATCCCACTTAAAGAAACGCAGTATAGGGTCGACAACATATATGTTTAAATCAGCAGTCATTCCTCAGATTTTAATTAAAACAAGCCAATCCAGCTAACTTTGTATGGAAAATACAGCAATCAAATATAATATATATATATATTAATTCTGGTGGCACACAGACCAACCACTACACTACGTACTCAGATAGTACACCCGAAAGATAGGGTCGGCTATTTGGATAGAAAAGAAGCTGTCTACAAGATCCCATGTGAGACTTGTGATGCAGTTTATTGTGGTCAAACAGGAAAATCCGCCTCTACACGAATTTACGAAAACCAACTTGCAGTTAAGAGGCGAGACCACCTGTCTCAAGTAGCCATGCATACCCTGTACACAGGGCATACGTTTGCTTGCGGCAGAACACGGATTGTCGGTGCCTGCCCCTTCCTTGAGGCCATGCACTTGGATGAATCGTGCATTAACCGTCATATTGAGTTGGACGCCGCGTACAAAAGTCTCAAGGAGAAATGGAAGAGACGAGAGCCAGTCGGGACGGATTGACGCAAATAGCGGCCGCTCACGGGCGCGAACGCGAACGACTATCGATTTTTTGTGTGCGCTGCCAGATGTTAACTGTTACCGGCACATTTACTCTCAATTTGCGTCTGACGACGACCTGGGAACCCGGCGTCGAAAATTCACGCAATAAAGTGCCTTTCCTAAAAAACGCCTCTGCCTTCAACTTATATTTCTTGGGATGCCTACCTTCCAAAATATAAATATAAAAAATTATAATATTTGTTTCTACGATTTCCTGGCCTGTTTATTTCGATGGAAATAACCATTCACACGAATAATGATGTGAATTATTTGAACGATTAATTTTATCTAGTCACATTGGCCAATAATTCTTCCTGACCTTTAATCCTCCTATGTCGTCTAGTTTTTTAAACAAGGATTTGCTTAGCATCCGATGTCTTAAAGTCAAAAATATCTTCAAAAATGCTTAGAGGCATGTGTACATGACTAAAGGCATAAAATATTTTGATGGATTATGCTGGCTTTTGATTCTGATTCACAATAGACTGCAACCATCTGAGTATCTGAGGCACTTTCCGGATCAGTAGCTACCACTGTCCAGCGATGCTCTGATCGCCGATGCTAACTCATTTGAGGATTTTCCATGAGTAAGGCGATCATCTAACAAGTCCTTCAAATTAAATAAGGGCACACATTATGTGACCTGTTATTACAACTGCCCGGTCTCGTGGGTGCAGCGTGGACGACTCACAGCTAATTGCGGGGGCAAGTACAGTTGAGTGCGTACTGCGATAGTGCAGGCAGGCAGACCTCTGTGCGTGTATCTTATTGGCTGAACGCTCAAGGTCTCAGCAAAATGACGTGGCGCATTGTTTGGTAACGAATGTTCGCTCGACTGTAAAAGTCGGTAATGACGGCCCCGTGGTGAGCATACAACTAAATACTGATGGCTGATAAGTCGGATATGACCATTTGGTTATTCAAAAGCTTAGCAGTAGTATTTTCACTGATCATTTTGTTGGGTGGTCTCTAAATTATCTGCTAAACGACGAGGGTTTTACAAGATTACGGTGGTTGCAACTGACAGATAGCACCTAAAAGGTCTAACAGGATTCGCCTAAAATTATTTTCTGTTAGTTGCAAAAGGTCGTGAGCTAAGATGGATGGAAATAGAATGTAAATAACCATCTATTTGTATTTTTAAACGTGAAGTCTACCGTATTCCTTTTATTAATATATGCCAAAGACGGCTAGAAATGTTATTTCCACCGAATTTGACCCTGATCTAAAACATGATTGTCGTTGAAAAATTAAAAAAATGTTGCGTCCTAGTTTAGGCATGACTGTCGATGACAGGAAATGAACACGTGTCAAACAGGCAAAGTTCTAGAGGAGATCTAGGTGAAACAAATGCCAAATATTTTACCTAGTAACAAAACGTCGCTAATAGAAAAATACGCCGGCATCAGTTATGCTCGGTCAATGCCACCCTGCAGAATTCGAAAACTACTATCGGATAAAGATAAGAAATAATTTTATAATGTATGTATTAAAGTTGAATGAAAAACCGTTGTGGGATGAATAAAACCAACGCCAGTGTATTGCAAAAGACCGAAAGTAGAAACAAAAAAACATTACTATTGACAGCAGCTTCATGATGTCATTTTTGAGCACTTTTAATTGCAGATACACTGAATGTTTGTGCGCAGTATCTGCTGATGTAGGTCCACGAAGTTCCAGCGCGCCAGCTGTCAAACTTCGGCGCCACATTAATAAAATTGGTGACGCAACCCTTTTTGTAAAGATACACTGAGATATACGGATGCTTAAGCAAACATGCATATTTGTCTCCTCGATTTGGGTTTCTAAACTTATTATTTCCAAGAGTATTTAATCCAAAAATGAGTGCAATTATAAAAGTTACAAAATTCCATCTGATCTTAATAAAATTTCACAGAAGACTAGCAAAAGCACTAAATCAAATAGGTGTGGCACGAGAAGACGAATATGTAACGGATTTCTGCGGCGTCTAAAGCCCTCAAAGACCTGCTCAATTTGTATTGAAAATGTCCTGCCGGTGTGCAAAAACTGTGGGAACCGCATTTTAGCTGTCGTAACGCATATCCAAACCGGGTCAAAAAATAGGACCCAGGAAATACAGTATCCAAGACATTTGCTGAAATACTCGAATGAGTTTAGACAGAGGAGAAGGCACCAATTAACAAATTATTAAAATAACCTACATTCAGCGAGAACATTAACGAGTGAAATGGAGATAAGAGCAAAGTAGGGTCCTATATCAACAAGAAGACAACTGAATAAGTTATTGATACCTGCACTGTAAGAAACATTACGAATTCTCAAACTGCATTTTATGCGCTTTCTAAAGATGCGCTTAAACTGATCCTGGCGAAAGTACTTCAAATTGTAGGGGGCGCTCACCGATCGTTCATACGGAACTCACTCGTTCCGTTGGGCCTTAAGAGCCCTCTCTCGAGCCCAACCAACAGCCGCACAGCGGCGCATGATATATAGGCAGAATAGTATTACCGACAAAGACAATGGAGACTGGTAAATTTCTGGCTTATTAGCTGTCATCAGCCAGCCATACCCAAGCCCGAAGTTTGGAACACCCGAGCCTCGGACTCGCGACCTGTTGGTTTAGAAGTCCACGCCTCTACCCACCGGGCCACGAGCCCGTTGCCTTGTCGGTTTTCGATCGGGAATATACAATGGTAGGGGGCGCTCACCGATCGTTCATACGGAACTCACTCGTTCCGTTGTGCCTTTAGAGCTCTCTCTCGAGCCCAACCAGCAGCCGCACAGCGGCGCATGATATATAGGCAGAATAGTATTACCGACAAAGACAAGGGAGACTGTCACCCTTGTCTTTGTCGGTAATACTATTCTGTACTTCAAATTGCATATACAGTAATGTGCTTACTCATAAAATGTTAATCAAAATTCTGATATGCGTTTTTTTCGAAACGATTACTTAAGGGAAGTTTAAAAATTAACCATCATGCATCGTTATTCTAAAATAAACCTGAAAACTCGGGATACTATATTTGAACGAACTTTTTTCCGGCCGTATGCGAAAAACAACCCTCTGTAAAAAATGATTGCTTAATAAGTGTACATTTTTCCGTTAATTTTCGATGCCCTTAAAATCCGGTCATGTTTTCTGGGAAACATACATAAAACGCTAATATTTTTCCTATTTTTTTAAATTCCGTCTTTATTTAATTTTATATCTAAGGAAAGGGTATAATTCGGTTGTAAAAAAATTCTAATTATGAGATTTTTTAGGACGGTAAAATACCCGTTCATAAAACACCATGTCTCTGTATTTACTAATATTGACCGTCTGAGTTCAAAAACCCTCACTCTTCATTTATGAGCGACTGGCTAACTGGTAATAAGACGGTTAGCCCACAATGTACCATGGGAGTCCTTGCTTGTATTAACATGACCATAATTATGCGGTATTTATTGATAACAATCATACAAAAGGAAAAACACTTGGGATTTACAGACAATTTAGTTTTCATCTTCGTGTTTTGGATTTTGTCCAAATATCTATTTACAGGCCGCATTTGACAACTCCAAAATCCCATGCACCTAATGCTCTTTGTTAATGCTGAGAGAAAATGTTTGAATAACAGAACCTAAATAAGTTGGTGCCAATACACATGGATAAATTCTATTGCTTAAGTTTATACCGAGAGCAGAATCTGTTACGCTTCATCCTAGTATGCTTTAGCAATGATCGATCACCTTTAAATGATCGGATAATGCCCTTAGGGTCAAAACATTTTTCTTTTGATTTTGCCTCCCCCATATTTTCCCAAAACGAGAGTGTTTTTACAGACATAAAAAAGACTACTACCTAATCGCACTCATCGTTCTTATATTGAAATAATGTAACTAAACAGTAAGTGTTTTTTTTCTTTTAAAATTTAGATGTTCAATTATAAAAATAAAAGCAAACGATATAGATTTCCTTGGTTTCATTTTGTCCCAGCGCCTTCCGTACGATATATGCCGGTGATGATAAGACCTTTTTATTTTGCATTTGCCTAAAATCCCTTTGCTTTGTGAATTCAAACAGAAACCGCAGATTGTTTATTGGATACTGTCATTCTGATATTTAAGCTTTGGCCACTGACGACGACTGGATAGAAGTCAAAAATCCAAGGGTATCATATTGTGAAAAACGTATTTTCCTTAGCTTTCTAGCGGAAGGTGTTACGCCTCTTTATTGCCGCGTTCAGCTGTTTAAAGCAAGT